GATGCTCTTCTCTCCATCCCAGCTGAGAGCACAATCACAGAGGTTCATATCGATATGAAGATGGTGTCACAGTGGAGGAACTTGGAATGCAGAGCAAACGCACAAAGGAACGCTGCTGTGGACCATTACATGGACCCCAGCAGGCTTCGTGTAAGTGAGAAGTATGCTTCAGTCAAGCCACTGAGATTAGGCAGTTTGTACTGCAGCAAAAACTAGCTATTTGGATACATCTGAGGTTAGTCATGCATCCTTGAGGGTCAAGTAAGAGTTCTAGCAAATGATAAACTGAGGTGACTAGGCAAGTGAGCCTTCTAGGAAAAGATTTTTAAAGAAATAAATTCAGCTGGCCTGAAGTTTCTCTTTTTGTCCTTAATTTTCCTTCTTGGAATGTAGACATGATGGCTGGAACTGTGGGAATTATCTTGAGAGCATGAGGAACAGGGGCTCATCCAATGGTGCAGTGTGGACAAAGGAAAGGAGTTGGGACCCTGTTGACATCCTGGAGCTGCCATACTTTGGACTTCCCACATCTGGGATTCATTTTTGGGAGAGGAAAACAAACTTCTGTTTTGTTTAAGCCATTGTTTTTCAGGTGTCTATTCCTAACAACCCAATACAATTTTTAACTGTTATGGAAGGTACAGAGGTAATTTTTATTCTTCTATTATTTACATGAACATTACTTTTTATGTTCTTATTGTGGAAACTTTCAAACATATCCAAAAACACATTGAGTAGTCATCATCCAGCTTCAGCAATCATCAACTCATAGCCAGTCATGCTTCACTCACATGCCCCTTTCCCATCCTGAGTTGATATCTATATATGTATTACATCTATATATAAAATATATAATGACATCTATATATAAAATATATAATTACACACACACATACATATATATATGCATATATATGTATGCATATATATATGCATATATATGTATATATATATATATGTGTGTGTATATATATATATATATATATACATGTATTAGAGACAGGGTCTTGCTTTGCTGCCCAGGCTGCTCTTGAACTCCTGCCTCAAGCAATCCTCCCACCTCGGCCTCCCAAAGTCCTGGGATTACAGGCATGAGCCACTGTTCCCAGCCCTGGGTTGATTCCTGCAGCTGGTTCTGCTGCTCTCATGGGTACCATGTTGTTTGTTTTCAACCCACCTCTGAGAAATGGACCTCCCTGTGCCCCACCCCTGACCTAAACTCACCTTCTGCAATGCTCCTGGTCTCTGCCTTGGCCTCAAGTGACAAGGTCCTTATAGTCTGTGGCTTCTTGTCTCTATCTCAGGCCTCTTTGAGACCACCAGTCCTCTTGGCACTTCTTGCCTCCCCATCTGAGGGTCCCAGGGATCTTGGCGACTTGCAAGCTCCATGGTGAAGTGTACAGGGTTCAGACTCATCGCTTAGGCATCTCCTTTGACTTCGGCTTCCTTTCACCTCTGAGCTATGCAGTCTCCTCATGTCATATTCTCAGATCTCCCTTCGCCTATTGGGGTGACACAAGGGAAGGAGGTGGAGGGCAGGGGCAGGCAGCAGGCTGCAGCAGTACCTCAGCCTCCTCACACTCTGTCTCGGGGTCATGCATGGGCTTTTGTCTCTTCTTGTGTAGCTGGAAATTTCTCTGTTCTATACCCCATCTCTCACCTCCTGCCACCCTCTGCACATGGAGCCTTACCACTAGGCTGAGAACACCTTCTGGTTTTCCCAAGACAGTTGGGGTTTGCACTTGGTGTCCCCAACGTATTTATCAGTAGTGCCCCTTTCACTCTCACAATCTATGGTCACCTTTTTTTTTTTTTGAGACAGAGTCTTGCTTTGTCACCCAGGCTGGAGTGCAGTGATATGATCAAGGCTCATTGCAACCTCTGCCTCCCGGATTCGAGTGGCTCTCCTGCCTCAGCCTCCTGAGTAGCTGGAACTACAGGCATGCACCACCACACCCAGCTAATTTTTGTATTTTTAGCAGAGACGGGGTTTCACCATGTTGGTCAGGATGGTCTTGATCTCTTGTCCTTGTGATCCGCCCGCCTCAGCCTCCCAAAGTGCTGGGATTACAGGCGTGAGCCACCATGCCTGGCCTCAACGACTTTTTTACACCAAGCATTTCCACTCTGGCAGGGTGGGGATGGAGTAGGGTGGTGGTTATAATCAATGTGTAACATGGGTGCACGTGTGGTCAGCGGGATGCTGGTCAGTTCACTCAAACTGCCTGGCATGGCATGGTGGCAGCTGTGGCCATCTCATTTTGGATTTAGCATGTGGGACACAAAGAAGCAAGAAGACAAGGCTCTGGAGACCCTGGGGCTGTGTGGTCAGAGCTGAGGTTGGTGATGCATTAGGTGGGAGGCTTGAGAGCATAGGGTGGGCACCCTGGGGACAAAGAAATGAGATGTCATCCTGGAATCCTTTCCAGTGGTGGAAGAGAACTGCAGGGGATGGGCCCTCACTTACTGAACTACCTTTTCAGGGGCTCAGTAGGCTGGGCCAGTCTGAGGGCCAATACAATTCTTTATAGATGGGAGGGCTGGGGACACATATCTCTTGGGGATACCATGTCATCTGAAGACGGAGCAAGACTGGGGACACTTGGTCCCTCTAGAGTGCTCTCAGACCTACTCCCACCCCAATGCCACAAGCACAACCTCCCCTTCCACACTTTAGTGTTGCAGCATATGATATGTGTTCTCAGGAAGAGTTCCTCCTGCAGTTCAATCCTCAGTGATGGTGAGGAGCAGCAGGAAGGGCCTCTGAGGTTTGCCTCTGAGAGTCCCACCAGCAGCCTCACCCCTGCTGAGGGGGGAAGGGTGGCTCCAGTGATCTAGGCCAACACTGGCTACAGACCTCACAGGAGTCTTTCTCCTGACTCCCACCCCATCCACCCACCTCCTCTGCCTTGCGGATCTCCAATGCCCACTGCCCACAGGTCCAGACCACTCCCGGCTTCTTAAGACCCCTGACCACCAGCAGAACACCCAAAGTGGTGGTGAAGGCTTTGGATGAAGCTTGGCTTTCTTGCACTAGCCTGTGAATCTCGTTGCTCACACCTGTGTGGTGTCATCTTGGGAGCCTGTCTACCTGGGACAAGAGGTCTCACCCATGTTCCCCTCAAAAGCCCCTCCCATTCAGCCCCCAGCTACCAAACTGTGTCTTCCTGCTTCCAAAAGTTTTTGACCCAAACGGGTTGCTCCCATTGGATTCCTATTTCACTTGGCATTCTTAGCTCATCAGAGAGCAGGAAGCCTTTATGACCTTGAGTCTGCTGTGTTCAGCCTGAAATTCTGTAGCGCATCCCCAAGTGGGACTACATGAGCCAGCTGAGAAGGGCTTAACTCAGCAGTTCCCAAACCAAGGCTGCACTTTGGAATCCTGATGCCAGGTGTCACACCAGCCCAGTTAAAGCAGAATCCCTGGGTGGGTCCAGGTATCAGTATTTTTTTTAGTGTCCTAGGGGATTGCAACGTCCTATGTTGAGAATACATAACTCAGAGACTTAAACCATTGCCAATCAAGGGTTTAAACATGTCTCACTGTTGGGGTAGCACTTAAGGGGTTAGTCACGCAGAATTCCTATTATGCCCAGCTGCAGACCTATCCAGTCTCATGCCACTTGCTGCTGTGAGTAGGAGGTGGGCAAAGCTGTATCCAGTGCCCCTGAATGGGTTCCCTTGGAAGAGCAGGATTCAGTCAGAAAGTCCAGGTACCCAGCTGCTTCACTGCCACCTGCAGCTACTGGAGATGATGGGCATCAGGCTGAACCCTGAACCCTCACACCTGCTACAGCTGTTCTGGATACACACACACACACACACACACACACACACACACACGGATTGAGGAAAGCATCACCCAGCTACAAGGCATAAAGACCCCTGCACACCTCCCCACTGGCCCTCCAATTGCTTGTGCAGGGCCTACCATGGAAAGAGCCTGCAGAGGGTTGCAGACCTCAGGCTTCTGGGATGGAGGTTCACACAAACATCTGAGGGACAGGCTGAGAGTGAGGGACCTTGGCCATGGATGATAAACCAGAGACAGTGAGAGACCATCTGAGAGATGGTTGCACCATAGGTGCCCAGAGACAAAAGGACACTCAGCAAAGCAGTGACCCAGCAGCACCAACCCAAAGCAGGCCAGCAGAGGGTGAGGCAGCCTGGGGGGAGGACAGAGAGGGGACATGGGGGTGGAGGAGGGGCACGGCTGCTTCTGAGGCAGTGGTAGGATTTAGAGGCTGTGTGCCCAGTGACCTCCAGGAGCAGAGGGACAGCCCTTCCCCCTGCCTACCCCTCATCCTCTGTTTGTTTACCTGCCCCCATGCCACCCCCACCACCATCCTTCCACACCCCTTGAGTCTCTTTCTCCTCCCCCATCTCATGCCTGGTTCTCCCAGGAAGTGACCAGCAGAGGGGAGGGAAGCCTTCTTATGCAGCCCTAGGGTGGGGAGGCAGCAGACACAGCTGCTGCCCTTAACTCCTGCTCTGGCTTCCCCAGAGGCTGGCTCTGGCTGGCTGCTCCCCCACTGCATCCCCCACCATAAGGCGCAGGGTCTGTCCTGCTGTTGCCCAGCTGAAGTGGCCTGTCCTCCTGGCTCCCTGCCAAGCATGCTGCTGGCCCTGAGGGCCCTGCCAAGCACAGGCCTGTGGAATCCTGGCCTTCCCAGCTGGCCCTGGCTGCAGCCAGACTCTTTGATGTTCTGCTCTGAACGGAGATGCCTGGACAGGGGCTGCAGAAAACTAAAGCCCAATGCCTACTTCCACTGTGGAAGGGGCCAAAATCAGGCTGACTGAGGCATCAGTGCTTGATCTCTCTTGGGCCCTGGGGTCTCTCTTGGATGCAAGACTGGCCAGGTATCCTGTTAGGAAGAGGAGCCTAGGGTTGGTGACCTGAGGACAGGTACTCTAGACCACACCACGGAATCATTCTGGGTGGAAGGCAGAACAGTTAGGGGCTGAGCCCTCCTTGGTGAGTCTAATCTCCAAAGGGCAAGTGTGTGGTCAGTAGGGTCTTTATTGGAAGAGAGATCCAGCCTCTTTGGCTCTGCCAGAGCCCTAGGTCATGAGGATTTCGATGTCAAGCTCCAGCCGGCTGGCTCTGACCTCATAGCGGCCCCGGATCAGGCCTCGTTGTTGGCTCGCATGCCAGCGCCAGTGAGACTGGATGATGCAGGCTGCTTGGCGTGCCTGGAGGAACCGCCTGCGGGCCTGCCACATTCGAACCTGTGCCTGCACCTTCACCACCGCCCACTCCTGGCAGGTATAGAGTCTTAGTGCCAGGCGCCGTCTTTGCTCCAACATCTTGGTCTGCATTGACCTCCACCAGCACTGGATGACCCAGGCTCTGAGTGCTGCGTGCAGTAATGTCCGGCGCACCATGTTGCCACGCCACCATGACTGAATCTTTATGGCTCTCTTCTCTAACTGATTGCGGGGAAGGAAGAACAGGGAGATGCTCAATGGGTCACTCTCCCCTCCTGTTCCTATCCCCACCTCTGATCTTGGGAGGAAGGAAGGCCCGGCCCAGGTGCCTCTGCCTTCTTGTTTGTTTCCAGTCCCCCTCTCACCTTCAGATACGGTTCGTTCTCTGTCAGGCAAGTCCCTCCTACAAGGGCCTTACTCACATTTTGTGTATCCATGGCCCTGGTTTTTAGGGTCCATTTATCTATCATTTAGACCACCCTAGTCTTTAGCCCCGCCCTCAACTGTTAGTCACACCTCCATCATTGGACTCCGCCCACTTGCACACAAGACTCCACCTCTTCAGGTCTTGTCTGCACACATTTTAACCACATCTCTCTCTCCTCTTCTCTTGCTTGCATCTCCTTTGCTTTATTTATTCCCACCATTTTTGGAGCCTACCATTTATCTCCTGCCTTCAGTTTATTTCCCAGACCCAGTGGCATTTCTGTTCCTCCTGATGGCAGTGAAGAGAGTCATGCAGCTTACCTGCAAGTAAGGAGTTTTACTTTAAGCCTACTCATAGTCAATTTGGATTTCCTGAAGCTTAAGTGTCAGGGTGCCTGTCAGGGCCTAAGCAATGTGTTCATACAACTGTATATTTTTGAAATAATATAAAATTTGTGAAACACGATATTTTAGCTGCAATTGGAGAGGACCTCTGTCTGTCTTCCCTCTTACGCCATCACTCTCCTCCTGTTGAGTAGTGTGGAATGGCAGCCTCTTTTGCCATGTGATTAAGGGGAGGCTGAGTTGGGATAGACTTAGTTTCACAGCATAGATTTATGTGGTTCACAGTCACGCTTGGGAATACAGAAATCCTTGCTGGCCATTCTGCTGTTGGTGTTCATTCATTCACCTTGTGTCATGGCGTGAAGATGCGGGGACAGAAGCGCTGCTATCCTGACAATGTGTCTTCCAGGGCCAGTACCAGAAGTGTTTGGGCAGGGGAGGAAAAGTAAGTGTGAAGAGTATGAAACCAGAAGTCAGTCTGTAGAAAATTCTTCCTTTTATTAGACGTGTAAAACTGTAAGTGGAAGATTCAAGTCTCATCAATGCCTGATTAAAATTGAAATTCGCTCTTGTTAGGAATATACTTGACAACTCAGTGATACAATTTTAAACATTTCAAACTTTTTTCTTTTCTTGGTGGAAATTTCGTGAATAGAATTTATCTAAATTCCTGTGATTGTAGGGCACAACCAGCAGAACTACCGTGAACAACGTGGAAGTCAGTGTGAAAAATCACATGCTTTATGCATCCCAAATGTCGGTAATATTTCTGTAGAAAATGCAGTTGTAAAATCATCCTATAAAGAAACATTCAAAAGTTATGCAGATAAAATGTAGAAAAATATAGAGGTGTGTCAGTTAATTCATAGAAATATTATGTTATGTTTGAGGTATTTACCAAGCTAAAAAATGTGTAATTTGTTATGATTTCTTTTATCATCTTAAATAGTCACTAATTTGACATCTATGATTTTGTGTGCTTTTCTTAAAGTAGGCCTTCCAGATACATTTTAGGTCCCACAAAACCTGGATCTGTTCTGCCTCGCTGTAAGAATGTTGTGCAAGCAGATCTCCTGGGAGCTCACAGAAAGCTATGCTTCTAGGATTCAGAATTAGCACTGGAACTGCACACACAGGTGATGCAGAGATGCTGGGAGTCCTTTGAGACCTGGGAAGCCATTTTGGCTCTGGCTTTTGCGTGCATTTCATTGTTCATCTTTCTGCATAAAGGTTTCCTGGGTGCCTGCAGCTAGTAGGGCCACACACTGTCCATAGCTTCTGTTTATACGTTTTTGAGAATCCTCCTGCCTCATATCATTGCTAGTACTGCTCATCTGGGCATCTTACAGGTTCTGGACCCACTGTCAACCAAGCAAGCTTGGTAAACCAAACATGTTTAAAGTCCTCAAATAGTGGATCCTATTGCTCCATTAATGATTGCCAATCTGGGTGAGCAAAGTGCTGGAACCAGCCATCTCAAGAGCCTTCACTTCCTCAGTCCTCGCGTTAGGCATCCAGCCCTACAGAAGGGATCACTTAGTGGCCAGTGTTCTGGGGCTCAGCCCATCCAGGCCAAGTTGCCATGGTCAAGATGCCACACTCCACCATCCCTCCCCCATTTGGGCCTGGTTGGGAGTTACCATAATTCCATAACTTGTCTACCTTCTTAGCTGTCTCTGGAAAATCCTGCCAGAGTTCACAGTTTTGCAGTTGAAAGTGGCAGCAGATGGGGATGGGGGGTAAGGCAAAGTCCCTAAATCTTACTAAGCTTTCCCAGAGCACAGTCCTTTGTCTCGATTTCCTTACTGCTGCTTCTCCAGCTTTCTCTTCTTTTCTTCTTGCTTGATATATATTTTTTCTGATTATAAATATAGTATATTTCTGTTGCCAAAATTTCAATATACAGACACACATTAGGTGAAAAGGGAATTTCCCATGAAATTTTTCCCCAGAGCTATTCGTTTAGACCTTATACCGTGTATATACTGATAGAAATTTTCTAATAAAATAACTTATTTTTAATTAAACATGTACATTTTAAGTATATTCTTGTAAAAATTTATGCATTTCAAACTTTACCCTGACGATCAGTATTATAACTGGTTCCAGCTTGGAGGGTATCCTGGACAACTAGCTATGCATTTATCTTTTTTGTTTTTAACTGTGCATTTGTAAACACAGTACATCCATGTACCTAAAAAATACATAATACTGTTTTTAATGTGTTTCTGTATATCTTTTTAATGAATTGAAGTAAATCATATAACATAAAATTGATTGTTTTAACCATTTTAAAATTCTAGCCTCCAATTTTATCTAATTTCAAAAAGAAACCCTGTACCCATTAAGTAACAGTCATTCCCCATTACCTTTTTCCCACCCTAGCCCCTGACAATCACTAATCTGCTTTTTAGCCTTCATGAATTTGCCTATAAAAGACATTTCATATAAATGGAATCATACAATATAGGGCCTTTTGTATCTGGCTTCTTTCACTAAGCGTAACATTTTCAAGGCTCATCCATGTCATAGCATGTATCAGTACTTCATTCCTTTTTATGGCTGAATAATATTCTACTGTCTGATGTACTCTATTTTGTTTGTATATTCCTCAGTTGATGAGCATGTGAGTTGTTTCCACTGTTTGGTGATTGTGAACAGTGCTGCTATGAACATTCTTGTACAAGTATTTGTTTGAACACCTGTTTTCAATTCTTTTGGGTACATACCTAGGAGTGAAATTGCTTGGTCATATGGTAATTCTGCGTTTAACTTTCTAAGGAAGCACAAAACTCACACAGCTGAGCCATTTTTTATTCTCACCAATCTCTGCATCCTCACCAACACTTATTATTTTCCTTTGGAAAATTATAGCAATCTTGGGTGTGAAGTGGTATCTCATTGTGATTACAATTTTCATTTCCCTAAGACCAATGACATTGCGTGTCTTTTCAAGCACATGTTAGCCATTTGTGTGCCTTCTTTGGAGAAATGTCTGTTAAAACCCTTTGTCTGCTCTAATTGGCTTATTTGTCTTTTTGTGGTTGAGTTGTAGAAATTCTTTATACCTGATGGTCAGCAGACCCTAATCAGATATATGATTTGAAAATATTTTCTCCCATTCTGTAGGTTGTCTTTTCACTTTCTACATAATAGTCTTTGTTTCAATTTTGTCAAGTCCAATTTATCTATTTTTTCTTTGTTGCTTGTGCTTCGGGATCCTAGCTAATAACTCACTGCCAAAACCAAGATCATGAGGATTTACCTGTGTGTTTTATTGTAAGGATTTTTTAGTTTTATTGGTTACATTTAGATATTAGCTCAGTATTGAATTAACGCTTGTAGATGTTGAGGAAAGAATCCAACTTCATTTTTTTGCATGGGGTTATCCAGTTGTCCTAGCACCTGTGTTGAAGAGACTATTCTTTCCCCTGGGTCTTGGTACCCTTGTTGAAAATCAATTGAACATAGATATACGGTTTTATTTCTGGTCTCTCTCTCTCTCTCTCTGTATCTATCCAAATGCCAGGATAGATACCACACTGTCTTGATTATGACAGTTTTGTAGTAAATTTTGAAAAGAAAAGTGTGAGTCCTCCAACTTTGTTTTTTGTTTTCAAGATCATTTTTGCTATTCTTACACCCTTGCAATTCCATATGAACTTTAAGATTAGTTAGTCCATTTCTGCAAAGAAAGGCAGTGGGAATTTTGACAGGGATTACATTAAATCTGTAGATCCATTTGGGGAGTAGTCTTCCAACCCACAAACATGGAGTATCTTCCATTCATCTACATCTTTAATTTCTTTCAACAGTGCTTTGTAGTTTTCATTGTACGTGTCTTTCATCTGCTTGGTTAAATTTATTCCTAAGCATTTTATTCTTTTTGATGCTATTACAAATGGAATTGTTTTCTTAATTTCATTTTTGAGTTGTTCATTGCTAGTGTATAGATATACACATGACTTTTGTATGTTGATCTTGTATCCTACAACCTTGCTGAATTAGCTTAGTAGCTTGAATAGATTTTGTTGTGCATTCTTTAGAATTTTCTTTATGTCTTATTGTAAGTAAGGTTATTTATCTGCAAACAGGTAGTTTTCCTTTTTAAATAAAGTAAATACAGCAGACTGTAATTACTGCTTTCATGGAGGGACTCTGGAGTTCTCTATTTGGCCTTTTATGCTGACATTACTCCGTTATTGAGTATTTCTTAAAGTAAAAATTATCATCAACTTGCTTTATAATTTTCCTTTTTTTCAGAGTATGTACAGCATAGAAATTGCTATTTTTTATTTTTAAAGGGGGAATTCTATAAAGTTTGTGTGTGTGTATGTCTGTGGTGTGTGTAAACCAACTAACATATTACCTCTCAGTTTCTGTGGGTCAGGAATTCAGGGAGTCTTACCTGGGTGGTTCCATCTCAGGTTCTCTCTTGAGGTTGCAGTGAAAATGCTGGCTGGACCGCTGTCATTTGAAGGCTTGACTGGGACTGGAGGACCCACCTCCAGGTTCACTCACATGGCTAATGGCAGGAGGCCTCAGTTCTCACTGGCTTTCTTCTTATTTCTTGTGCTTGGTTTTCTTTGGGCTTCTTGGATCTGTGAGTTTGTAGTTTTCCTCAAATTTGGAAATTTTTAAGCCCTATTTTTGCAGATAATTTTTCTGTCTTCTCTCTCTATCCTCTGGGACTTAAATTGCATGTGTATTAGGTGATTTGAGGATGTCCTACAGTTCACTGATGTCCTTTCCCTTCAATTTTAAAATTCATTATTTTTAGGCTAGGTGTGGTGGCTTATGCCTATAATCCCAACATATTGGGAGGCTGAAGTGGGCAGATCACTTGAGGTCAGGAGTTCGAGACCAGCCTGGCCAACATGGTGAAGCCCTGTCTCTACTAAAAATACAAAAATTCACCAGGCATGGTGATGCATGTCTGTGACTCCAGCTACTTGGGAGGCTGAGGCAGGAGAATTGCTTGA